TCCTTGCCCCCCGCGAGGCGGGTATGCGTAGGCATTTCCCCATGTAAAAAAAAAGGTATTATAATCAATGATTGCTAATGATTGTAATTATAGATAAACTAAACTATGATAGCTACTAAACTTTGTTTTATCAAAATCATTGATGTTTTAATATTTCTCAACTCAGCAGAACAAAAATTGGGATTGCATGCAAAAAATTTTGCCACCATCAATTTATTTATTTCTGGTAGATTAGTACTTTATGCTTTTACGAAGTCGCCTTCCATGATGCCTTTTCAATAAAATTCGGAATAAAACTCAATAATCGTAATGATAACTTGAAACATTTCGAAATAACACAGCATGTCCCTGAGACGGGATCTGTGACGTCACGAGAGTTTTTAATATGCCGGAAAGCGATTTGCAGATTAATATTTTTAAAATTGAAATATAAAATTTACAATGCAATTTTATAAATAGAAATTAATATTTCTCGTTTACTTTTTACAAAATCTATCATAATTTTTTTTCACATAGTGTAAAATAACCCCTATTTCCTATAATTAACTACCTAAATTATTTTTACTTTTTTTATTACCACACTATTTTACAAGCTTTTATTTAACTTGCAATGTTTGTAACTATGTTTGTTCGGGTTGAATCTAACAACTCAATTTTGAACCAGGGTCAATGTTCTATTAGCTGACCATGCACCAATAGTTGACCAAAACACAAATAAAAACCAATTTTAACGTAGATTGGTAGGATTTAATATCAGTTTTATTGTTTTGCATATTGGAATCATTATTATAGTCTCTTGGTATACGAGTCAGCTCGATATTGGATGACCAATCAGAGTTCTTTGCAAGTGAAGATAGCACCCGGTAAGTACGCGTCTGATTCACTAAGAATGTTTATTATGGGTTTCTTGGTAAATCTTATTTAATCTAGTTGATTTATTGTATATTTTTGGTTGAATTATATATGGATTAAGGATAATAGTTTGTTTAAGTGCCAAAAGTAATAATTCTGCTGTTTAATGTGGATAAGGGTTTCTCGTGGGGGTGGTTATCCTTTGGCTCCGAAATTTTAACCTGCACCTAAAGCTGTCCACGGTGGTCAAGTGTTGGCTAAAAGATATAATCAAGAATGTAGTTTTTTTTTATTTAACGCATTTATTTGATTGATTCGTTAAATATAACCTAAAGCATGATTGCTGTACGATGTGGTTGTCCAATAGTTGACCAGTGTTATGTTTTGTGCTGTTTGCTGTGGTTAGCCTTAGGAACGAGGTTTCCTAATGCCTGTCAAGTTAATCTATTCGGTATCTATTACTGAAAACAAATTAGTTCAATCAGCCCAGGAAGCATCAACTTCAACACCCACCCTAGAAGCTTGCGATTGGTCTAATAATGCGGCGCGGATATGACTCCGTCACTTTTTCAAACTACGCCAGGCGCTCCAGTAATTCGGTGTTCATCTACTGCTCCAGATTGCAAGTAATGAACAATGTAGCAACACATTTTCCCCTTCTAAAAATAAATTAGTCCAGCTTATATCCCAAAAACAAAAACTAATAAGCCCTGCATTTGGTAACCATATTTCGTGGCCATCAGACTCTCCAATAAAGATAAAACAAAGGAACATCATTAACAACATGAACATGAACAACACACAAGATATTTCATTGATGAAAAGAAGAAAAAAAAGAAGAAAAGCAAAAGAAGTTAGAAGATATAGAAAACAGAAAAAGAAAGCGAGATGAGAAAAAAACAAGCAAAGGTAAAGTAAAGAAACCAATTCGTTCACTCTCCAGTGACTCAGTAGAGAGAAAAAAATGTAAAGTCAAAGACATAAAATTAAAAAAAGAAACAAAACTAACTCATTATACGGAGTGATGTGAGTCAGACGGTAACACGACTGATATAATAATAAATAAAGAAAATGAAAACAAACGAATAGAGAAACCCAAATCGAATTCCGAAGACGAAATCTTAAGTGTTTTATCAGCTAAGAAAAAAGGAATATGTAAAGGAAATCATGTAATTATTACATATGAGGGAGAACATTCTCCAGGGCTTATTGAAAATGTTGAAAAAGATTTATTTGAAGTAAGCACTACGACTTTTTCCATGGAAAATACGTTTAAATGGCCAGAGAAGCCTGATAAAATCTAGTATCATCAAAAACTTCCACTACATCGGAAGTAATAAATGCCCCTGTGCTCTCTAATAAAAGAGGTTTTTATGTAGTAAAGGTAATGGAAAAATACCTACCATTTACTGTTTAAAATATGTTAGATTTTGTTGATCTTCTTTTCAAAGCTTCTATTAATTAAAATTTTAACTATTAAACATTATTTTCTTTGTAAATTTCGTTTTACTTACATGTTTCTATATGGTCAACTAATGGTAAAAAACACACTAAAGGTTACACAATCATTTACTATTATTAGGAGGAATTAAAGCATGTAATTCCTGCATACACTCTCCTAAATGCATCATATAGAATACCGAGAGGTAAACTTGTGTAAAAAAACAATGTCGGTGAATAGCTGACGTGATGCACCGATACTTCGAGAAGACTGCAGTCTATGAACATGTACCTACATTGGCCATCCCCGTAATTAAATGAACTCTAATTAGCCTAGGGTAATTCACTAGGCTATTGAAATTAAAAGACATCTTAATTACAACATACCCACCCAATGCTTGATATCCTATATTTAATAAAAATAAATTCCAACCCGAGCATACAACTGCAAGACTTAAAAATAGAATAAGTTCATTCTGCGTAGCCGAGGTCAACTATGACTATGAGTTCTAACCTATTTATACCTCAGTCCCTCTGTGACCATGGGATTTATAAAGCACTCGAAATTTCATTCTTTGTGTAATATTCCCGTCAACATACGAAATGAAATAAAAAAAATAGTTTTCGACGACAGAAATTAAAATGTAGACTTTTTTGAGTTCGTGCATACTTCACAAGCATCACCTGTTTTCTATCAAAAGTAGCAACACAAAGGTAAATCACTTGGCGAGCGCAGAGGCGACGCCATCGAACTGATGATGCTGCTCTCCCATAAACAATCCATAGGATTTGGATTAGGCTTTTTGTAGTAGATTTTCACCATCAGTTGACTGTCAAAGCTTCGTCAATCAACAGGGTTGTTTGTAGTTAAGGTGATTTAAAAAAAGAACGTGAAATACCCCCACAACCTAACATAATTAGTTCACATTTGCATTAACGTGACTAATAAAATGGGCTTCGAGATGATATTATCATTTATTTACGAACGTACACACATGCAGACAGCCTTTTAAACACAGAATTGAACTGTAAGAAAGTAAACGTGGAGATTTATTACAAAAATTGAGCATCTGAAAATGAAACTTCTTATATACTGTTTAAAACAGTTTGTTTGTGTACACTCTATGATTAAAATAACAAACACTTTATGCTTTAGAACAATATATTTTAAGTATATACATACACTGAAAAGAAATTTAAATATGTATCGAGTTTAGGGTTTAAATACAAAAGTCACAAAATATTTTTAAATGAAACTGTCAAAATTAGTTTTATAAACTAACTAGCTATATATAAATTTGTATTTATAAGTATATATTGTTAGGACAAAGTCCTGTATCCACGATAATTGTTTGGTAAGCTGTTTCATTCTAATTACTTTAATAAGAAAATTAAAATACATTTGTTTACATTTATCCTAATGATTTTGAAATTTCTAAATTAATTAATGAAATGAAATGAATTGAAACTACTCTGTTGATGAGATGCAAATTTTTTCATGAACCAGCAACAGACTATTTAATTCATTAATTTGAAGCAGTCTTCCAAAAATCGACTGCTTTACATATGCCTTGCTCATAGCTTGCCTCACACACACAGTGGGACGGTCACTGTATTTGACGATCTCGCCCCATATTGCTAAATCTCCCTTATTCGTCCCGTTTTTGACAAATATTCCCCTACGAGTCATAGGGGAACATTTACCATAGTAGCTACGCCGTAGACAGAGAAACCTATAGACTAATGATTAGCGTGGCATCGAGTGAGAAAGGACGATAACGTAGTTTTAGGTATACAATAATCTTTATGACTTTTCTTAGAACAATTAAAAATTTAGATAAAATTTTTAATTGTTCTAAGAACTGAACTGAACAAGATTCACCGCAATATAAAGCTCACAAAACACTTTTTTCTCACTTAAACCAACTTGTAAACTCCTTAGATCGCTACGAACTGTCAAAGTTGTTTAGCAAAGTGTAGTTTGCTAAACAAAAAAACCGGCACGGAGAAAGGGACAAACAATCACACTGCTCTGTCTCATTTCTATTCAAGACGTATGCATAAATCTATCTTTTACGTGTGCGAATGCGAAAAAAGGCGTCAATTTGTCTATAGGTTTCTCTGTCTACGAACTACGCTTACCAGGCGAGTTGACAACCATAGTTTTCTTATTTCGAGATGTTATTTAATGTCCATCACCTGTTTTATTTCACTGTTTGACATCCACGGGAATATAGAGAGTAATGGATTCTCTTTTCGCCTATTACACGGCTATGGATAACTGCTTTTTTTGTTGATGTGCTAGTTGCTATCAAATTTTACTTTAAATGTATATAATAAATAAAAAAAAATCGCATTGACCTATACAATTTATAACAATGATCGACTATTGGTAAAATTTTAATGACTTAATGTTATTATATTACACACAGCACTTTTTGTTTTATGAATTAAGTTATATATCACCACTTATATTAACAACTTCAGTGCCAACTCCGCATATTTGCGTGGGGCGGGCTGAGCGCGGGGGTGCCGACCCCGCAAATTAGCGGAGTAGCACCGCTCAGTTTGTATGCCTCAGTACGCATCCGGCACAGCTCTTGACAACACGTTTATAGGTTGGCACTGCGCTTGAATGTTGCAAAATTGTTGTGCAAGTTGTGGTTTTAAAAAATTTAATTTTAATTTGAAGAAATTAGCGTTCAATTATGAGTGATCAACCGGGTCCCTCGCGGCCGAAACGAAAGAAAATGGAGCCAGTTTATAAGATAACTGATAGTGATATTGAAGAGCAGCTTTTGGGCAACGACTCTGATGATGACTTCCAGCTTGAGGACATGTCATCAGATGATGATGAAGAGGAAATCGAGCGGCAAAATATTATGCAAATGGCGGCTATGGATTTACAATTAGCGTCGCAACGTACTCGTCGAAGGAGTCCGTCATTAGAAGCAATACAACAACCAGAAAGATTAGCACTACCTGAGGAAGGAGCTACTTCTTCATGGACAACGACATGTGAGCTAAAAAAAATTGATTTCACTAAACAAAATGAGTTCTTTGGCGCGCCTGACCCAACTCCAATCGCATTTTTCAATTTCTTCTTTGAAGATGATTTCCTTGCAATGATTTGTGAAAAAACTAATGCTCAAGCCAGAAAGTTATTTCTTTTCGGTGTTTCGGAATCATCAAGAATAACTAATTGGAAGGACGTGGACGTTCCTGAACTGAAAATATTCCTTGGCTTACTTTTCCACATGGGTTCTTTTCAGCTGCCCCGACTACAAGATTACTGGAAAAAGAGCCGGTTATTTTCAATACCTATTTTTGGTCAACAGATGAGGAGAAATAGATATTTCCTAATAATGAGATGTCTTCACTTCAGCTCAGAGACAGAGATAGTGAATGATGACCCACTGTACAAAATACGTAGTGTCGTTGATTATTTCAACCAAAAAATGAATACATGCTATTATCCTGGCAAAGAGCTGTCGTTGGATGAGAGCATGGTTCTGTGGAGAGGGCGACTGAGATTCAAGCAGTATGTAAAAAACAAGCGCCATAAGTATGGTATCAAACTATACATGTTGACTGAACCTGATGGTCTCATTTTGAAGTTTCGAGTATATGCTGGGAGCCAAGACCATGATGTTGCTGGAAAAGGGCACGCCGAAAAAGGTTGTAATGCAATTGATGGAGGAGAAACTTCACAATGGACACTCATTATATATGGATAACTATTATAATAGTTTCCACTTGGCTAAACGTCTTTTACATAATAAGACTTACTGTAGTGGAACTTTAAGAAAGGATTTGAAAGAAAATCCAAAGGATGTGGTTCAAAAAACGCTAAAAAAAGGCGATAACATTTCAAGGTTTCGAGAATGTGTGCACATCGGAAAATGGAAAGATAAGCGCCCAGTGATGTACGTCACCACGGAATATGACGATATAAGGATACCAGTTGCTAATAAGCGTGGCCAAATTAATGAAAAACCTGCAACTATTGCCAAATATAATGAGTTTATGTCAGGAGTTGACCGACAAGACCAACTGCTCGCATTTTATCCGTGCGAAAGAAAAACTCTTCGCTGGTATCTCAAGTTAGCCATCCACACCTTTCAACTACTATTTATAAACTCTTATAAAATGTACAACAAATATTCTGGAAAACCTAAAATGACACTCTACGATTATCGCTTAGCTGTGATAAATGAGCTTTTACCTGAAAAAAAATACTGCAGTGTCTGTTCCAACCGGCCCAAGCAGAGCGAAAACGAGCAGAGAAGTGCCACACAAAATCAGTAAAATAACTGAGAGAAATTCCAAAGGAAACATCAAGCGCAAGATGTGCCGCATGTGCTCAAAATCTCAAAAAATACGGAGAGACTCTATGTGGCATTGCGAAACTTGCATTGACAAACCTGGTCTGTGCTTTGAGTGTTTTGACGAATTCCATTTGTCCATCTAGACTTTATTTTATTTTGACATCATAGCTGTGGATTATATTACAGCTCTGTTTATAATCTCATTAGGATATTTTTAGAATTTTTATTTTGTGTTAGAAGCTGAAGAAGAAGTTTTTTTGTTCAACTGTTTTTTTTTACTGTGTTTAATTTTTACTGTATTTTTGTAAGCTTACTATGTGAAAAATTAGTTATTGTTCTCAAGAGTATTAGAATTAAGAAAAAGGACATTAATGTCGTGTCCAAATGACATAAATATACGATTATACATAAAATAAGCCACTCCGCTAAATTGCGGGCCCGGCACTAGAATAGAAAATTTCAACCCCAGTGCCGGGCCCGCATATTTGCGGGAATATTAATTTTGTTTTTTCTTCATAGTAAAACATGATAATAATAGTCAAACATTTATTGAAATATTCTTTAGGTATGTGCCGAACGCATATTATAAAAAAAACAATTTGGATTTTCTCAAACCACCCCCATAGTCAGGCCGGCAGCGAAGCTGTTAATAAACAAATTTAACATAAGCATACTTAATCTTACTTAAAAATGTTCGAAAATTTAAAACAATAAAGTTGGATAGATAATATTAAAATTAGTTAATTATTGCTGAACAGAAACCATGAATAATCATGAGCGTAGGTGGTTAGGAAGTGACACATCTACCTAGTACCCACCTGAAAACTTGGGTATCTCCGACTACATTTAAGAAGAAGTCTAGTACTGTTTGTACTGTAGGTAGAGCCACGCTGCAGCTATATTATGGTTGTACCACGAATAGGTCGGCTTGACCGGGGTAGGACCACGCTCTCACAGAACACCAGCGTAAAATAGCCCATTAAGGCTGCTGTGTTTTGCATGGTGAGTGTAGAGAACCAGAGACCCTTTTTACTGGAAACTAGGCATTCCATCTTAGTCCTCACGGGTGACAACGCATCTGCGTTTTGATTCGTATCGAGATAGATGTACGAGATAATGAGATCTTGTAGATGTCTATGGGCCACAGTAACTACTTACCATCAGATGGACTGTGTGCTCGTTTGTTACCCTTATCACGTTGACTGCCATAGTGTGTATATAAGAAAAATCAGTAAAAAACTTTTTGATGAAAATAGGTGGGCAATATCAATATTTTAAAATATATCTAATTTAGGGTTCGATCGGAAGCTGCGTTTCGTAATTATTTCGAAAATAACCACATGAGGCCACCGGGGACCTACGTGGCGCCTTGATAGTAAAAATTTGAATTACCGTTACGAGTCGCCGGGGCGGGCACTTCTCCGGTCACCCGCACCCCGCACCCCGCAGTCGTCTGTTAGCGCTTGGACGGTGCGTCCGTGACGGACGCTCGTGCTTTTTAATTTGTTAGATATCGTGATTCAACATGGAGAATAGTAAGGATTTAGACGTGAACTTTATAGATATTTCATTAGACGATTCGCGCGATATTGACTTACTAGAAGCTAGTATTTTTGATGAAATTGCTAGAAAAAACGATTTGGGTAAAAATGAAGAATCAGAGATTAAAGATTATAATATCTATCATTCAAAAAACGCAAACGTATGTTTATTCCTAGTCAATCTGCGAGTGAAAGTGATGACTTGGAAAAATTTGTCAATAAAAATATTGATAGATTATGCCAACCAAAAAGACATCAACCATCTGTTATAGCGTTTACAGAACTAACAGGTATAATATATTCTTTTATTTGTGTCTTTTGTTTTTGTTTGTTCTACTTCAGACTATAAGATATTTCTGTGCCAAATTTCAAGTTTCTGTGTCAAAGGATATATAAAAAAAAATCAAAACAGTGACAGGAGATAATGATTTAAAATTGACTTAGGCCTACTTTCCATGGCGGCGTAGCTTCGTAGACGCGTATTCGTCATTATACGCTTGGTGTACGCCTGCTTGCAGCTTACATACAAAACTATGTAACTCTGTCGAAGGAGCGGCAACGTCGCGCTCCCGTCGCTGCATTCATGCATTCATGGCGCCTGCCGTACCGCATGTCATACGCCCGTACATCTAGTGAGCGCACGTGTTTATTTTCGTAAAAATGGCGGCAGCAGCCGCGAAATTTGTTCAGATAGTAGAAAAATATCCATGTTTATTATACAACAATAATTTAGCTGAATATTCTAGAAAAGATTTAACTGAAAAGGCTTGGAGTGCGGTGGCGAATGAAATACAATGGACGAGTGAGTATCGACTTTATTTATTTTGTACTTAAATACTTAACATTTATTCAATTATGCAATTATTCTACTGCCATGGCAGAGCAACATTAGGCTGTAAAAAGTAATTTTCTAAATAATTACGTAAACCGTTTGGTGTATTTACAAATGTCATAATGATTTCTTAAATTTACGCGAACACTACACATTGAATAAAACTATTATTTACGGATTTTATCGCGTTTAATTACTTTAATTTATTTTTATTATTATCCCGACGTTTCGGGTGCTTTACAGCGCCCATGGTCACGGGGGGACTGAGATGTTTGACGTCCCAATGTCATAGTAAAAAAACTGAAGGTAGCCGGACTAACTATGACATTGGGACGTCAAACATCTCAGTCCCCCCGTGACCATGGGCGCTTGTAAAGCACCCGAAACGTCGGGATAATAATAAAAATAAATTAAAGTAATTAAACGCGATAAAATCCGTAAATAATAGTTTTATTCAATACAAATGTCATGTTCGGTATCAAAAGTGGTGCACGATGAATATTGGAACTATTTGAATTGTTTGCAATCGTTGTGTATTGAACACCATCATATCTCCGTATGTAATTATGCAAAATACATTACTACTATTGTAATTAGTACTATTGAAATTATTGTTGAGTATTTACGGCACGATATAGCTTTCAGTAGTACTTGAAATTTTTGTGTCAACATTCCAAAAACACATTCAATACTTTTGCGTCCGCGACTTAACCTATAATTGTAAATTCTTTTCACATTATCCAGATTTCTAACTGAATATGGTCTCAATAAATTTTTAAATAGTCCGTAATAAAGGTGTATTGAGTATCGTTTTTGTTTTTGATTGAGTTTAATAGCCCTGCACATCAATCTTTTAAATATATATTTGTGAATAGAAAATCCTCAAGTTAGTACCTAAGTATTTAGATGTAATGAAAATCTGTTTGTTTCAGTAAACAATTGTAAAGAAAAATGGAAAAATATTAGAAAAAGTTTTGTTCGAAGTTTAAAACCGAAGGCTAGTGGATCGGCTACCACCAGAAAAAATACTATTTGCACGATGAGATGCAGTTTATATTACCATACATAAAACCAGTCGTTCACATTGAAGAAAATGGAAATTTACCAAATCCTGAATTATCGCCTCTCAATAATGTCCCGCTCAAGAGCGGGACATTGATTCTAACAGGAATATTACGGAAGAAACTAATTCAGAAACTCTTTCCCATCTTGAAAAGCCGTCGTCGTCATTCCAAAAACAAAAAAAAGCGAATTAAACCTGTTTATAACGAAGCTGATAAGGCTTTTGTGGACTGAATAAAAACCAAAAAACCTAATGAAGATGATCCACGAAAAATGTTCCTTCTGAGCTTGCTACCCGACATACAAACTCTTTCAGAGGAACAAATGAGCGCCTTTAGAATAAAAGTGTTGATCCTTCTAGAAGAAATTAAAAAACCAACGTCTTCAGTAATCCAGTCACAGCTGCACCAATATAGAGACTATTCTCCGATTTCCTCCGTTAATTCCCATACTCCACTGGTCCCATCCACACCTTCTCCAATAAATTATTCCACCAACTCATATTCAACAAGTTTTCTCTGGGTATTCACAACCACAAGCTTTAACACTGACCCCTATTAATTATTCCCAAAATATTAACGATTTTGAAGATTTTGCAATAGAATAAACATGATATGGACATGTCCATTTTTCAACTGTGATTTTGCATGATAATTAAATAAAAAATATTTTAATTAAAATTGTTTTACTTACCGCAATGTTATTAATATCCTTTTATCTGAGCTGACACATTCTCGCATATTGGTGTTTTGTTTTTTGTAACAGAGGGGCTACGATTTGCAGTAAATTCTGATAAGTAGTTTTACTCTAATAATTCTAATAATAATATTTCTAATAATAATAATTCTCTTGCCGCAACAATCTATAGTTAATATTTTTTTCTATATATGGATGCACCCAATATAATCGATATCTTCGGCGTCTGTAGTAATAAGCCAAAATAACGTCTTCTTCGTTCGACGACATTCTCACAAATGATTGTAAACGTACGCTAGCAATATGCCTCGTGGACAGAGTTGAGTATGCTGGGCTGCACAAGCTACACGGCGTATTTTGAAGCGTCTATGAAGCTATGTCTCCGTGGACAGTAACACTTAGTTAACTACGTACAGTGCGGATAACGCTTCGGTGAATTGTGGCGTAAACAGTTCGGTATTCCAAAAATTAAAATGTACAAACTATCATCTGATTAAAGCAAACTATAACTACCAAAACATTCAATGAGTTTAGCTCATGTTCTACAAAAACTGAGAAACTAAAATAATGTCTCAAGTGTCGAGTAAAAAAACTTCGTCATGTTCCAACAAAATGGCTATACCTTGAATTGGCTGCTTTAGATCGTTTACTGTGTTGCTGGCCTGCTGTAAAGCAGTATGTTATGTTGAAAGGGAAAGACGAATGTCGAAAGAAGAGATGGGAGTTTGTAACCAAAAGTCATCCATATTGATAATGGTGAAGGGAAGCGTATTTATACTTTGTACACAACGTAACATTGGAGTTCCATGTAGCAATTTTAGCATTGGAAAGTGATTCGTGCACTATCCTATAAATTGACAGTGTAATGAAAAACTAATAAGTCATCTGAAAAACAGATTGGATGACAAATTCTTTGGTAGTAGAAATAGAACCTTATTAAGGAATATTTCCGTTTGTGAGAAAATACCCTTTTTTGAGTCGAAGCTGAACAGTTTTTAAAACGCGCCATTCAATACTTGCAAGAATATTATGATTTTTGTGAGAACTCTTTTCTTAAAAAACTCATTGTATTGTTTCTAAAAGGTAGAAATTTATTTGGGAAGAGTTATCCGTATTGCTCGACGTACTTAATATTTCAAACGATATTGACCAAGATGTACCGATTACTGTTATCTTCGAGAAATATTTGAACATCTTTCAAAAGACAAGAACAGGAGGCCGCGTCTTGTGTTCTGGTGCGCCTTAACTGAGAAGGAGAAGGGGAGGAGTAGTCCTCTCCCGAGGAGGGCCGCCACTGGACGGCTAGCACTGGAGGGGCGGCGGATGTGTGCGAAAGCGTTCCCGTGGCCCTGTTAATATGCGACGAAGATGGAACACTATGGGGTTTTTAGTCCGACATAACCCGTCCTTGCCCCCGCTAGGCGGGTATACGTAGGCATGCAAAAAAGGACAGTGATTCGGGCAGCGGAAACGTGGTTGGAGTAAGCTCTGCTGTCTGTCGAGTTACAATTTTTACTGATGCATATGTTCAGCCAAAAGTATAGTTATCTGCAAGTAAAATTAGAGACAGCCCGTGAAGACAGAGAAACAGTTTTATCAACAAGAACAATGACTGACTGGTTTGCTTACTGCCGGGAGACAGTAGTTATTTATGAATTGGAGCACCAAGAAGTTAACGGCAAGATTGGTGGTCCAGGCAAAATCGTACAAATAAATGAATCAAAATTTGGAAAAAGAAAGTACAATAGAGGGAGACACATTGAAAGCCACTGGGTGCTGGGCATGATAGAAAATGGGCCTAATATTGACTACCTGAATATGGATACATACATAAGAAGGTTAATCACAGCGACCCTAAAAATAAACTTGTGGCACCGGACGGGACATACTCGTACACACAAAGAATAGAAAGCCACGGGGGAAATTTGAAAATGGTGTTCGGTAGGGAAGGTTATAAAGCAAACTTCACAGACAGGCTCATTGAATATTCTTGGCGAAGAAAAATAAAATAGCACATAAAGATGTTTTCGAAGAATTAATTAAAGCAATACAATTTGTGTATAAAATTGATTAATAAATTATTAATGATATTTGATTTGTAAAATTTTACTTATTAGGGCAGATAACAAATAAAATAGGCTTGGTTCAACTTATGTCAAAGAACCGAATTGATTGACCCCGACTCCACCTGGTACGAGTCTGTCCTACACCAAATGTTTTTATAGCGCCGGAGACGTTGTAGTCTCCAAATAGATACAGAAATCCCTCTGAATCAGTCCCCCAATTTTTTTCTGATGAAAAGGGTTCCCCCTTCACCCCAAAGGGTCCCTTCTCTGGTTTTTTTATACTTAATATTAATTCATAAAATGAGGAAAATTTCATCAGAGCTCAAAATAAAAAAAATCTCAAAATGGAGGGGGCTCCGAAACTCCTCCTTTTAAGGGGGTGTTGCACAAGACCCAGGCACAACAACAAAGCATTTCATTTTAAAATCGACAGTAAAATGATCAGAGTTTGTAAAACAGTTTATAAAGCAATTTTGGATATCTCAGATAGCATGATTTTTACTGTACAAAATAGAATTAATGAAAATGATTTTTCATTTATTTATTTTAAGGGACATATCAACACCATAAGAAAATTGATTCCGAAATACGAGCTTCGACAAGATAATTTTAATACAAAACTGCATTATTTTCAATTAGCCCGTTTGCATCAAAATTATTCGATTACATATTTGAGTAAGAAGTGAAATAAGTAGGAAGTTTTTTTTAAATACTTCTATAGAGTGTATTCTTGATCAAAATATACCTAATAATTTCCACCTTATTCGTTGTTATACTACCTTATACTTTGTTAATTAAGCTACACGTATCTAATTTTGCAACTTTCCAAGCCACAATCCTTTTGCACCATATCACTTCGTCTTTAAAAAATCATCTAAAGTCGATGCACCCAGAAGAATTTTCCATATATGAGAGCATGAGTTTTTTTTTTAAACCCATTTCAACTTTTTTGATCAGTAATAATTAAAAATCCGTTTGGCGTTATTGTCTTATAATGTTTTTTTTGCAATATAATTGGACTATTTTTGGACAATTTTTTTTCTCTTAGATAGATTTTGAGATATTTACAAAAATATAACAAGTACGTGTTCTTTTTTGTTTCGACAATTAAACACGACTTTTGGTAGTTTATTTCTTTTAGGTAGATAGTATTTAATTTTTTTATTTATATCTTTATTCTTTACAGATAAAGTTGCCACTCCTCTGCAAGAAGCAAAGAAAAACTCTCTTTAGAAGAAGTAATTCTAAAAGAAAAGAAGTGCGTTCTAAGAGAAAGATGGACGTTAATAATTTAAATTCGAAAAAAATTGATAAACCCATTGGAGAATTTATTGCACTTCAAAATTTACCGTTTTACTCTGTTGAAGGGCTGGGTTTTCGCAGATTGATACATGAATTAGCACCAAGATATAATTTTAGGGGACGCAATTTTTTTACTGATTTTGTATGCAACGAATTATACGGCAAAGTAGTTTAAAGAATTAATCAAAAAATTTGATTACATGACGTTTACGTCTGATATTTGGTCGGATCCAACTCAAAACTCAAATGCTTCTTTGCTCAGCATGACTTGCCATTATATTGCAGAAAACTTTGATAGAATATCGATTATATTGAAATGCGAGACATTCGACGACCGTCACACTGGTGACATAATTTCCGAAAAATTCAACACGATGCTTTCTGAATGAAATATTAAAAAAGAACAAGTGCATTGCCTAATCAGATATGAAGGATCTAATATGAAACGAGCCGTGCGATTAGCATCATTGAATGACATAGATTGTACTGTTCACAAAATACAACTTGCTATATATACTAACAAGCTACCTACTATTGTTTAATATTCTTAGTAGACTGAAATTTCATCACTTAAAAAAATTGTTAAATTCCTTTATGAATGGGACTTATTTTCCAAGGCCCAAGTGACAGCTTACGATAAAAGCATAGCCACAAGTAATCTCTTTAGACATTTAAAATATGCACATGGTGTAGAGTTTAGGCGATACACTAAAATCACAAACTTTGACCAAAAAAGAGTTTTTTACTCCAAGAACCAGTGGCAGAATCAGATACGAAAGTAGTAAAAAGAGCGATAAATTGTAGCTGTCCCGAGATTCGGCTCTTTGGTTTGATAGGTCACTGATGCCATTTGATAGTGCAGACCGTGTCATGCTCCAAACTGAACCGCGACGTTTCTTGACTTAAACGGGATCGATATTATAATTTCTAATGATAATTTTCTAAGCATATATAATTCTAAGTATTGTACCAGAAATTAAACAACTTAGTGATCCCGTGACAGAATAAATAACTATTTACATCTACATACTTCTGTAACTATGAGTAGGGTAGATTGGGTACGGTTGTGACAATTTTCAATGGATCGCCGATAATTTTGTTAGTATGCTACTTAATTGGCAAGAACAATGACTGACTGGTTTGCTTACTGCCGGGAGACAGTAGTTATTTATGAATTGAAGCATAAAGAAGTTAACGGCAAGATTGGTGGTCCAGGCAAAATCGTACAAATAAATGAATCAAAATTTGGAAAAAGAAAGTACAATAGAGGGAGACACATTGAAAGCCACTGGGTGCTGGGCATGATAGAAAATGGGCCTAATATTGCCTACCTGAATATGGATACATACATAAGAAGGTTAATCACAGCGACCCTAAAAATAAACTTGTGGCACCGGACGGGACATACACACAAAGAATAGAAAGCCACGGGCGAAATTTGAAAATGATGTTCGGTAGGGAAGGTTATAAAGCAAACTTCACAGACAGGCTCATTGAATATTCTTGGCGAAGAAAAATAAAGTAGCACATAAAGATGTTTTCGAAGAATTAATTAAAGCAATACAATTTGTGTATAAAATTGATTAATAAATTATTAATGATATTTGATTTGTTAAATTTTACCTATTAGGGCAGATAACAAATAAAATAGGCTTGGTTCAACTTATGTCAAAGAACCGAATTGATTGACCCCGACTCCACCTGGTACGAGTCTGTCCTACCCCAAATGTTTTTATAGCGCCGGAGACGTTGTAGTCTTCAAATAGATACAGAAATCCCTCTAAAGCAGTCCCCCAATTTTTTTCTGATGAAAGGGGTTCCCCCTTCACCCCAAAGGGGCCCTCTGGTTTTTTATACTTAATATTAATCCATAAATTGAGGATTTTTTTACTAAAAAAGTAAAGCGGGCCGGATTTTTAGTGCGCTTACTACCGTGCAGTGTAATAACACAAAGAGCAGTGAGCAGTTAATCGATGCGCAATGAGCGCGGAGAGCCGTCGTGTGTTTGTTGTCGTCTGTAATAGACTTGTACAAAGATATCCATTATTTGTGGAAGAAGGACCACAAGGACTATATGAATAAGGACATAAGAAGTGCAGGTTTTAAACTGTTGTTGGAAATGTATAAAACATTTGACGTTAATGCTACAATAAAAACACTAAAAAAGAAACTGGGAAAATATGCGTACAAACTACGCAAAGGAGTTAAAAAAGTATGTATAAATGAAACGTTAATGTATATTATTACCAACGTAAACGATAATGTGTGCTACAAAAGTCGCACACTATGATGCAATACTTGCTCAACTAGTCCCATAAGTGGGGGTTTAAGTTATTTGTTGTGTGGTATATCAGGCTATGCTCATAAATTTTAAATGTTGAACCTGAACCTGATTTTGGACCTGTAGGAAATATTGTGATCAGACTAACCAGAGAGGTCCTAAGACATATTAATCATATAATATATTTTGACAACTTTTATACATCAGTGCCATTATTACCCATCTTGCAAAACAAGGGACAAACACTCTGGGAACTGTCCAGTCTAACACACTTGTCAACTATAATTGCTAGACAAAATAGCCCTAATGAAAAAATATAATAAAACTTTATGGTGAAATCTAGATATCACCAAATACCTAAACATATTTTGTCTGCAGATCAGTGAGATAAAATAGGAAATAATTACCGCAAATATGCCCAGCGCAGTCTTAAACAAGCTGCATATATGGTAAAAAATTAAGGTAGCTTCTAACGAATTAGGAATACGCTGAAGCGCGTTAAAGCGTTACCTTCCGAATAAAGAACCTAGGCCTTCTTTACCTATTTACTTAGAGTTAAAGATTTATAACCACATTATTGAGATGCAAGAACTAGGATTTGGACTAACGGTATATCAAATAAGAAAATATTATGCACACGTACTTGCTGAAGTGTCAGATAGGGAGAACTTTTAACCTCTGCAAAACGAAGTGCTAACAAATAGCGGAATAGTTTTATATACAGATATAATTTATTCTTGTGTGTGCATGATAACCTTTCAGCCTATAGAGCATCCATGCCTAATAAGTTTATGATAAATGGCTTTTTACCAACAACGGCGCATTTCTAACTAAACTAGTTATTAAGGACAAACCACATTTAATCTGGAACTGCGATGATGGCTGGGTGCTACAATCTGCTTGGAATCTCATAATTATTAAATTTAATCCAAACGCATATACTACTGCAAGGCTTCAAGATACTGTGAGCATGTTGGTACCCTTGGTTAAATAGACAAAATTGGACTCCACATAAATAAATATCTGCGATATACAGTAATCATTTTCATCCACACTACTTTTCCATCTATTAGTCAAACAAGAAAAAAACTTGCGAAGCGGTTCTGTTCCTTCCATATGTATGCCGGTAAGGAGAAACAATACCCCTTCTTTAACCATTCAGATGGTGTATTCATGTTGAGTTTTCAATTTTATGAAAACTAGTTTGATGTATCCAAGGCTATTCAGAGTATGCTAACCCAAATCATCTGACATTCCCCTATTGAAGATAAAAAATAAATATTGGAAACAACTTACATTCTCTTTTTTACAAATTCACCCCCCCCCAACTTTTTTTTTTTTTTTATTTAATTTTTTTTTAAAAACGAAAAAAAAAAAAAAAAAATAATTAATTTTATTTTTTTTATGTAACATGTTCTGCTGAAAATGTGTTTCAAAATATATACAATGTAGTCCGTTTAGAAAGACTTTGCATATAACATCCAACCGTTTTTAGCAATTAAGTCTATACTTACGTCGCAAAAAACGGTTGCCTATGCATATGTTTGGTTTTAATATGAGCCAAATGAAAGTACATCCTTTTATTACGACTCCGCTTACAACGACCGATCGCTTTTAACGACGGAATATCATACCCAATTCTCCGGTTTTACAACGATGAGCGTTGAGGTGTTTACAAATTAATTGTAAGAGTTATAATATTTTGTAGGTTAAGTCGTAAAGAAATTTTGCTCCGTTGTTACATGTGTGAAACTAAATTGTGCGACGTGTCACAACGGAGATTGCTGAAGGTTAGTTTACAAAGTTGCGTCGTAAACAATAAGGAACTTTCAATTTTTGCAAAAATAAAAAAATATTATTTCTAGATCGAAAGGCAAAGAAATTTTAATATAAAGGGTTATTTGTAAAGCAGTAATAACCTCATCCGTGGCAGTTGTACTCGTAATACTGAAGAACTTTTGCTGTGCAATTTTTCTGGAATCGAAAAAATTCTTGGTTTCTTTTCTCAGATGCCTTTATCAACAGCAGAATGGTGCCGCAACTACTGCGAAAAATTTAAAAATTAAAATCCGGAAAAATTCCTAGAAATTAAAAAAAGAATGCGCAAAGAACAAAAGAAAACAAAAAGAAAATTTCGGAAATGGATGAAAAGGAAAAGAAAGAAGCAAGAAAACGGTGGAGATATGAAAAGCGTAAAAAGAAACAGAAAGCACTTCACCTACGGTAACAGATAAGCACTTAGTTATTCCTCAATCCAAGCAACAAAAAATGTGATGTTGGAGTGTGTGTCAAGTGTTTGAAACATGTCATTCATAATTAATGTTCCTAATGTATAGTTACCCACTAAAAAAAACTAACATCTAACAAGTTAATTAACAACGTCACCATCGACACAAAGTAATTATTTGGTTCAAAATAATTCCATATATTACTTACTACTAAGAGGACCATGATAAGGCTGATTGTAAAATATGCAATAAAAGCTACTCTGAAGCAAGGACCGAACCACTTCGTCTTTGAAAAATCATCTAAAGTCGATGCACCCAGAAGAATTTTCCATATATGAGAGCATGAGTTTTTTTTAAAACCCATTTCAACTTTTTTGATCAGTAATAATTAAAAATCCGTTTGGCGTTATTGTGTTATATCTAATGTTACACAACAACAACAAACCCCCCCCCCCCCACCCACCCCCACAAATCTTAAAAAAAAAATAATAATAATAATTTAAAAAAAAAATTTTTTTTGCAATATAATTGGACTATTTTTGGACAATTTATTTTCTCTTAGATAGATTTTGAGATATTTACAAAAATATAACAAGTATGTGTTCTTTTTTGTATCGACAATTAAACACGACTTTTGGTAGTTCATTTCTTTTAGGTAGATAGTAT